AATTGATGCTTTTGAACTCTGGTGTTGGAGAAGACTCTTGAGAGTCCCTTGGACTGCAAGAAGATCCAACCAGTCCATCCTAAAGGAGATCAGTCCTGGGTGTTCATTGGAAGGATTGATGCTGAAGTTGAAACTCCAGTACTTTGGCCACCTCATGTGAAGAGTTGACTGATTGGAAAAGACCCTGATGCTGGGAGGGATTGGGGGCAGGAGGAGAAGGGGACAACAGAAGATGAGATGGCTGGATGGCATCACCGACTCGATGGACATGAGTTGAGTAAGCTCTAGGAGTTGGTGATGGACAGGGAGGCCTGGCGTGCTGCGATTCATGGGGACATGACTGAGCGACTGAACTGAATTTAAATAGTATGTTGGAGTGTCCCTGGTGGCTGAGACAGTAAATAATCCGCTTGCAGTGTGGGAGGCCTGGGTTTGATCCCTGGATTGAGAAGATCCCCTGGAGAAGAGAATGGCTACCCACCCTAGTAATCTTGCCTGGAGAATTCCATGGACTGAGGAATCTGGTGGGCTACACGCTATGGTGGTTGCAAAGAGTCAGACATGGCTGAGTGTCTAACACTTTCACTTCACTTTCAGGTAGTATGTTCAGTACTTTACATGCTTTGTTTCATTTAATCCTTACAATGACCCTGCAGATTAGGTATCATTGTTATCCTAATTTTAGAGTTGGGAACCTTGAGGTTAAGAGAATTAAAGTTATCTGCAGAAGGTAAATCAGCTAGTTCATGTGGAGGTGGTATTGAATCATTTGCCTTCAACTCCTAGGCTCATTGAACATGGATCTGAGCAGCTTTTTCTTTTTTTCTAGTGGAGTCCATTCACATCACCTGAGAGCTAATTGGTCTAGCCTTGCTAGGAAAAAAAAAGTAAGGCATTTCCCTGAACTTAGTTCTTTGAAATCTATCATTAGAAGGTTAGATGATTAAAATTTCAAACTATAAAATTATATTTTATATTTAAATTTATAAAATTATGTTTACTATTACCATGGTTTCCAAATTATACCCCCTTGAAGATCTTGATACACTTTGGCAGGAGCACTTTCATCCTTGTTTCAGAATGACTGGTTTAGAGATTAGGAAGTTATTTATATTGGCCATGTGGTAAAGAATTACAATTATTAGTTTAATAAGAACTTTTGAATAATAAAGTTTGAGAGGTTTATTTGTAAGCCTTACTACTTTTACTATAGTTTCTTTTAGAAATATATGTGGTCATTTACTCATAATTTTAGTTTTAAAGCATTATTTTAAAAATAACACCTTTATCCAGAAAATATCATGAGGTTTTACCAATAATTAAATATTGTCTGGAAAAGTATCTTTAAATATGAAAATGAGACCAGTATCCACACTGTGTGACTCAGGCCATCTGAGAATTTACTCAGAGTTCATCCCTTAGCCGGTTATTGTGAGATTTCCTTCCCTGCCTTCTCTGGTACACAGAAATTGGGACAGACTCTTACAAGAGAGAAAAGCCAATCAAACAGATAGTCTGAGGTCCCCAATTGTCTGCACTGCTGAATTCCTTCCTTAGTGGAGGGGTAGATCTCTGGCCTTTGGCCTGTCTGGTGCCCTCATTTTCTGCTGATCTTCTGTCTGTTAGTTCCAATGAAGGAACTTTAACATCCTCTCTTACTCCATCTTTCACAGTCCTTGCCACCGTGCTGTTATTTGCATAAATGGCTTTTGACTCAACCACTCTCCACTGCCCCATGTTTTACCTGTTCTGCCTAAATTGGTAACTTTGCCCCAGAAATACCAGGAGGCTCTGGGTAATTTTTGATGTCTTAAGGAGACTGATTCTACTATACCTGGAACTTTGGCAGCATCTTGGAAGGGCAAGGAGTATGAAAGTAGGAGGAATATGACTCCTGAGAGTCATACTCTCAGGACTCCTGAGTCATACTCTCAGTAGTCCTGAGAGCTCAAATGTGTCCTCACCAGGCTGGTTTATCTTGTGAGAGGTTGCATTGCAACTGGGTTTATCTAGGAAGTAGATTAATATATCCTGTAGGCAAACCGTCACACAAAAACTCAGGAGAATTTTTGTAGTATCATCATATTCAGTGGTACCAGAGGACAGGTTAAGTAGCAGTAGGAAGTACTTAAATTGGCAAATTTAGACAAGGAAAGTTGCCTTCAATTTGTCCCATCTTCAGATGCAGAGGCAATAATATTTGCTGCAGAGTTTTGACTTGGTGAACACGTGGTACTAAGTCTACATGTCAGTGGTGAACAGGCAGGATTCTCCTCCCAAGAGTTACCAATTTTAATGCCTTTGAGCCTGTTGCCATTTTTATTTATATTTCCTAAATCAAATCCTACAAAACAAATATATTCTTCAAGATGCTCCATGGAGAATAGAGAATTTCCTTGTCCCATAATTAGGAAGATATTTCATATTTCATCCCTTTTTGGAGACTCTCAATGCACTTTAGCATCAAGTTTCTGAAAAATCCAGCACTGTGTAAACTTATCTGATTAGTTCACCATTTCCCAGTTTTCTCTAACATCTTATTGATGTTTCTGTTTTATAGGACATGATTTGAGAAACAATGTATATTCACAAGTTTGTCTTGTAGTACTTGCTTCTGGATTTTTTAGCCAATTAGGACGGTTAGAGAAATAGACTAGTCTTGCCTGTTGGGTCAGGGTTGTAGATCTAGGAAGCCAGGATGGAGCGTACTAGAATTATTACATGCATAGTAGCAGATTGACCTCCTGTAAGATCAAAGCCAGTTCTGTTGGTTTTTATGTTCTATTATGGCTTTCTGGAAGATGAAAATATAAGGGGACTGAGCTAAATTATTTATAAGTGCTATATTTTTGTTTAAAATATCTAAGTAAAACTTCCCTGGTGTTTCAGTGGTTAAGAATGTGCCTTGCAACTATAAAACACCGATGAAAGACATAAAAGATGGCACAAATAGTTGGAGAAATATACCATGTTTGTGAATTGAAAGAATCAATATAGTGAAAATGAGTATACTACCCAAAGCAATCTATAGATTCAATGCAATCCCTATCAAGCTACCAATGGTATTTTTCAGAGAACTAGAACAAAGAATTTCACAATTTGTATGGAAACACAAAAAGCCTCGAATAGCCAAAGCAATCTTGAGAAAGAAGAATGGAACTGGAGAATCAACCTGCCTGACTTCAGAATATACTGCAATGCTACAGTCATTAAGACAGTATGGTACTGGCACAAAGACAGAAACATAGATCAATGAAACAAAATAGAAAGCCCAGAGATAAATCCACGAACCTATGGTCACCTTATCTTCGACAAAGGAGGCAAGGATATA